TATTCTTACTATCATTATTATTATTACTATTACTATTACTATTATTATTATTATTATTATTATTATTATTATTACCACACATCCTTATTATTAGTGCTTTTATTTTATTCGTTTTATTTGTATTTATATTTCTTGAATCGTTTATTCTCTCGAAGGCTGCTGCAGCGAAAAAGTTTCTTTCTTTTGTTCATTTATTTAAATAAATAAATAAACAGTAAACAAACAAACATATAAATAAACAAACAAACAAGTAAACAAATAAACAAATAAATAAACAAACAAACAAACAAACAAATAAAAAAATAAATAAATAAATAAATAAATAAATAAATAAATAAATAAATAAATAAACAAATAAAAAGCATATAAAGAGGTCTGCTGCTGCGCTGCTGCTGGGGTGTACGTACACCTCAGCCTTCCCTCCAGCAGCTTCTCCCAATACTTTTCTAATTTTTAATTTAACCTTAAATTTAAATTTAAATTTAAATTAAATTAAAATTTTAATTTATTTCATTTGAATTCTTTTTGTTCAAAAAGATGCAGCGAAAGCAACCAACGCAAATATAAAATGAATATAAATATAAATGCAAATAATATGCATTAAAATTTTAGTACAAACATAAATATAAATATAAATATATATATAAGAATGAATATAAATAAACATATTTTAAATATAAATATGAATATAAGTATAAATATAAATATAAACATAAACATAAACAAAAATATAAATATAATATAAATATAAATATAAATGTAAATATAAATGTAAATATAAATATAAATACAAATGTAAATAAATTTGTATATAACGGCATGTTCATATATTCAATTTTATTTATTTATTTCTTTTTTATATTTCTATTTGCACATTTAATTAAATATATTTTTATATCTGCTTATATATCTATTTACATATATACACATCTGCAGCTGCTAGCTGTCGCAGCAGCACTAAAACCCTAAACCCTAAACCCTAAACCCTAAACCCTAAACCCTGAACCCTAAACCCTAAACCCTAAACCCTGCTTATAGGCCCAGCGTTTTGCTGGGGTTTCTGGAGCGCATAGCGAGAGACTTGTTTAGTGCAAAGGAAGGTCAGTAGCCAGAGGCGGTGCTGCTGCTGCTGCTGCTGCTGCAGCAGCATTTTCTGCGGGGGCTGTGTCTACGAGCAGCAGCAGCAGCAGGCGGGCGGGCCAGTAAAGGAAGTCGACGCCCGCAGCAGCAGCAGCAGCAGCAGCAGCAGCAGCAAGCCCCGCAGTCAGCAGCAAAGGAGCAGCAGAGCGCAGCAAACCTGCAGCCAAATACCCCAAAACTGACACATAGGCGTAGCAGCAAACCCCGTAGCAGTGCAGCGCTGCTGCAGTCCACCGCCGCAGCAGCAGCGGCAGCAGCAGCAGCAGCGGCTGCAGCAGCAGCGGCAGCACCTGCGTGTACACCGCGTACACAAAGAAGCCGTTGCAGTGCAGGTCAAAGGCAAACGCAAAGTCGAAGTTCCCCGCTGCTGCTGCTGCTGCTGCTGCTGCTGCTGCTGCTGTGGGGCGCTCGGGTGTCTGTACACCCGGAGGCTGCGCCCACCTGCTGTGGCAGCAGTAAGCAGCAGGCAGCACTGCAGCAGCAGACAGCAGGAAAGCAGCAAGAGGCGCAGCAGCAACAGCAGCAAAAGTCCCGAGGCCTGCTGCCTGCAGCGCTGCAGCGTGGCCCACGCCAGCCAGCAGCAGCAGCAGCAGCAGCAGCAGCAAAAACGCAGGATCTTCGCGCGCGCAAGACTGCTGCTGCTTCTGCCGCAGCGCTGCTAGGCTGTACAGACGGCTCGGATTCGTCAGCAGCAACTTCCCTTGTGCTGCACTGTACTGTATGTCCAGCTGCGAGGGTCTGCTGCAGCGCCGCAGGAACCGCCGCCACCTGCTGCTGCTGCTGCTCGCCAGGTGCAGCGGCAGACACCCGTACACGCTCCCCATCCTGCTGCTGCTGCTGCTGCTGCTGCTGCTGGTGGCGGTGGCGCTGCTGCTGCTGCTGCTGCTGCTGGTGGCGGTGGCGCTGCTGCTGCTGCTGCTGCTGCTGCTGCTGCTGCTGGTGGCGGTGGCGCTGCTGTTGCTGCTGCTGCTGCTGCTGGTGGCGGTACCGCTGCTGCTGCTGCTGCTGGTGGTGCTGCTGGTGCTGCTGCTGGTGGTGGCGGTGGCGCTGCTGCTGCTGCTGGTGCTGCTGCTGGCGAGGGTGGCCTAGAGTGCGCCGGCAGGTGCTGCAGTGTACAGACACCCCATCAGGGGCTGCAGGAAGCAGCAGCAAACTGCCGCAGGCAGCAGCAGAAGTGCAGCATAGACTTGGGGAGGGTCTTCAGCAGCAGCAGCTGCTCAGTTGCTGCCCCGGGGCTGCTGCTCGCTTGCCATTTCAACTTCTGCGCGGCAGCCCCGAGAGCGAAAGCGCTTAAAAAGGAGCAAAAAGAAATAAAACTCGAATTGTGTTCTTTTCAAAAAGCCCAGAGTGGAAAGGAAAGCTCGAGTCCGGAGAAAGAAGCAGCTTTCCGCAGCCCGCCTGCGGTGAGTGGCGCTCCGCGGGGGGGGAAAGGCGGGTCATTTAAGGACTTTTCGGAGCCGAGTGAGCTCAAATGAGTTAATTTTAAGCAATAAAGTCCAAAGAAAACCCAAAGAAACTTTTTAGTTCCAATTTAATGCAGCTTTCCACTCGGATCGGAAAGTTGAACAGGTCGGCGGCGTGGCGTCGGCGCCGGGTGTCCATACACCCCAACTCCGCAGCCACTTCCCGCAAGACCTTCACAGCTGCTTTCACAACTTCTATTTTGCAAATTTGGAGTTTTTTGCTGCTGCAGTTTCTCGAAAGAAGTGGAATTGCAAAAGATCAAGACGGGGAAGGAGCCACTCTGCCAGCTCCCGCGCAGCCGCTCTTCTCCGCATTTCAGAACTTCTCCCAATTTCCAAATTCATTTCATTCCTCTTTTCTTTGCTGCGCTTCTCCCCCACTCGCACTCCTGGCCTGCTGCATGCACACGCTGCAGCAGCAACAGCCACGCCGCCGCAGGCACACAGCAGCAGCAGCAGCAGCAGCAGCAGCAGCAGCAGCTATCGATGCCCCTGGCGAGTTAAGGGGAAGCACAGACTGCGAAATATGAAATAAATCTAAAAGACAAATTTAACACCAAGGGGAGGCTCAATCGCAGCAAAGATGGACCTTGCAAATGTGCTGCTGCAGTAAACATGCTGCTGCTGCAGCAGCTGACTAACGCGTCCTGCTGCTGCTGCTGCTGCTGCTGCTGCTGCTGCTGCAGCACTTAAAAACAGTCTTTTTAAATTAAATAAAGACAAGTGAATTTCTTGCTGCTACTTCTGCTGCAGTTTCGCTCAGGTGTACGGGCGCGGAGTGTACGTACACCCCAACCAACTCCCGCCAACTGGCAGCGGCTGGCAGCAGCAGCAAATAATTAAAAGTTTGAAAACTTTTTTGAAAATAAAAAGAAACTGCAGCAAAAAGAAGCTTTTGAGTTGTTTATTTGCTGCTGCTGCTGCTGCGCAACGAAGGAGAAGTTGAACTGTTCAAATTCGCAACAAGAGACAAATAAAAGTGTTTCTGTTCTTTTTGAAATTTCAAAAACAAATCCGAGTTCCAAGTTCCCAGCTGTATTGACAGCTCCTGCGGTGTATCTGCAGCTCCTCCTTCCTCCTCTTTTTTCATTTCATTTCTTTTCAATTCCAAAAAGAAATGATCTTTCTTTCCACTTTCATTCACAAGTTCATTTCATTTTATTTCATTTCGTTTCATTTCAAAAAGAAATGATTTCCCCTTTTCCCAATTCGCATCCAAACCCCCCGCCGCTGAGGTGTACGTACACCTCGCGGTGTACGTACACCTCGCGGTGTACGTACACCCCGAAACAGGAAAAGATCCATTTTAATAATTTCTTTTCCCTCGACTTTCTTTCTCGAAACTTTTCCGCGAGCAGAACAATTCCATTTCTTTTTACTTTCCACTTTTTAGTTTCCACTTTTTAATTCCACTTGTGCAAATTTCCACTTTTGCGCGCCCCGAAACGAGTTGCAGTTCACTTAATCCCCTTTTCGCACAAGTCGAGTAGCCCCTCGTTGTAATCCTCTCTTTTAGCGCAAAGCAATGAGCAGAGTTCCGAGTGGAAGAATTAAAAAGGAAAAGAAAAAAAGAAAAAAAGAAAAAAGTGTTTATTCCCTTTCCTTGCGCTCGGGCTCCGGGGCCAGGCGAATGAAGTCGTCGATGCGGAGAATAGTGACAGCAGCCTCCGTGGCAAACTTGAGACTTTTGGACTTAGCGAAAGTGGCCTCCGCGACTCCGGAGTTGAGGGAGCTGCAGAGTTTGCCGCTGCGGAGGTCGAGCCCCTGCAGCTCGCGGGGATCGGATCCCGCGGCCGATCCCGATCCCAGCTCCCGCCCCACACTCTGCTGCTGCGCGTGCGCGGCCCGCAGCCGCGCCACCAACTCCGTCGCGTCCAGCGCCGCGTTCAGCGCCAGAGTCTTCGGGACCACCAGCAGGGCCTCTGCGAAGGCCGCCACTGCCAGCTGTTCTCGACTTCCCAAAGTTCTTGCAAAGTCTTCTAAATAAACTGACAAAGCAGCTTCAACAGCCCCGCCTCCGGGGCACACTGCGCAGCAGCTCAGGCAGCGGCTCACTGCGCACAACGCGTCGTGCAAAGACCGCTCCAGCTCGTCCAGGATGTACTCGTTCGCGCCCTGCAACCAAAATTTCGCAACTATTTCCTAATTCTGCAAACTATTCCAAATTATTCAAATAATTTCATCCTTTTTAGTCCAAAAAGCACAAAAAATGAACCAAAATCCACCAAATCCCGAAGCGCCAGCTGCCCGTACACCCCAGCACCTGCCTATACACCCCAGCATACCCCGCGGGGTGTACGTACACCCCACGCACCCGCAGGATGATCGTCGCCGCTTTTGCTGCTTTGCAGCCTCGGAAGAAAATATAATCCCAATCTCCAACTCTTTCTTCCGAAA